TTGTTTTACAGAACTGCACACCAAGGACTTGCCAATAATTATTGTCCAACATGACTGTAAACCAACAGGTAACAGGACACAGCGGTATCTTATCTCAACATTATCTGAATGTTTGCGGTGGTGGGAAAAGAGATGTTTTTACTTATGAAAGAACTAAATTAATCATCATCAACTAACGTTAGTTCGCTTAATGTAAATAAATAATTTTAAACATTCCACAGAGCACAACTCACTTTTTCAGAAACGCTGATGGCATCCTTTCTCTGATACGCCATTTCCACTGTCGTTGTATCGGTGGAACAATCTTTAATAAAATCCGTATTGGGATGAAAATGCAGCGCGTTTCCTGACGGTTGTCCTCCAAACCCAAGAAATCCAACAACTGATTGCATCCTTTCACCACACAAACACGAATAAATGCCATTGTGAAAATAAACAACACGCTAAACCAAGGTGAAGGAAACAAAATAAAATGAAGACCTTCTGTAAGCTAACTTACTGGAATAAGTTAGGCTTGCAAACCTAGCTAACTTTCCCTAACTCAGAGAGCAAACGTCACTGGGAAGACTGACAGACAGACACACCTACACAGAGAGACACTCTATATCTAAGTACTAAGTAAACTATAAGAAAACTTTAGATTAGATTTATTTACATGTTTGATTCAGAGGCATGACAGTGCTCCTGCACAAGCTTGGAGGATGACACATGACCTGCAAAATCTACTGTAGTTGAACGTCGTGACCCCATTTTAGCAACTAAGCAACGTCAGCAACTTTTAGCACAAAATTAAGTAATTTGTCAAAAAAAACATGTGGCAAACACTGTGGCTAATCAACATTTTCAGGAAATGAAATATCGTAGAAGTGTCACAATGTTTAAGAATAACTATATAGACACAGCCAATCTTCATGCTGACGGTATCGCTTATAAAGGTCATACAGAGGCACCAGTATTAAATTAAAACTGCTCCATAAGCAGTTACAAACCCCTTGTAGTCGTCTGCCTTAAGATGTGTTCACACTGAAAGGGAATCCAGCGTTTTGGGCGGCTTGATTACACACAAATTCAATGCAAAGACGAAGGGCGGCGCGAATGAGGCGTTTGTCGCGAAATTTGCTGGTTCGCGCGAGTTCAAATATTTCAACTTGGTCAAGAAATTTGCCTGACACGATGTGGCGAAAGCCCATCAGCGGTGAGATTGTCCAAACGTCACCGGTGGCTTCGGAGCGTTGTTTGGAGAGGACCAGGCGTGCGGTGTAATGACAATCCGCTGGCCGACGGGGAGCTGCTAAAGAACGTGGAAGTGTTCGGGGAGCAGCGCTGCAGCTTTCGGACAAATAAAACCCCTGTAGTCGGTCTGGATTCTGCTCTGACAGCTACGCCGTTTACCCGCAGGAGGAGCTCAGAGTTAACTGCTTTTATTAAATTAGCTTTTTACTTTAGTTTTTGGTTTTACAACTTGATTTATCTTCACTCGCACTACTCGGCAGCTAGCTTCTGTGCACATCCGGTTCCACTGTTGTTGTTAGCGTCGGATGGCACCGGAGCTCTGCTGGACTACGACTTCATATTTATATAAAAACCGGACATTACTGGGAGAAAAGAAAGAGAGGAGGTTGAACTAACTGGTGAGTTCAGAAAATGTGTGTCTGTAACTTTAGTTCTGTTTATCGCAATTACCACCGTTTAGTCCAAGAGCCGAGTTCGGACAAAGCCCGGTTCCATGATAGTTAAGCGTTGCTACGGTGTGGTATTTGTCCCGCCCCTCCTCTGCTGTGATTGGACAGCTGAGTAAAAAGTGACCGTGCCAAGCGCAGTGTTTTCCACAAAGTTGAACATTTTTCAATTCTCGGCGACCGAAAAAAAAACGCTCAGCGCCTCGTCACGCTGCTGCCGGTTATACCAGCTTGTAAAAACGCGGCGCTCCCATTGCAATGAATTGAAAAAAAGATGCTGGCGTCAGAAAAAAGCCCTTTGGTGGACACGGGGCCCTTAGTTACTCAGGCAGGCAGTTCCACAACCGAGGGACCCGGAATGCAAAGGCCAGGTCACCTTCAGTGACAAGTCAGATTTCATTACAAGGATTTTACAAGGATTATGTTGTGTATTTTTCTTAAAGCATTTAATTAATCATTTTATAGATGTGAGTATTATGTATTATATATTATAAATTTCAAAGTGTCTTCCACAGGTTGAAGACATTTCAAAATGAATGCATTGTTGCAATACATGTATTGTGAATTATCCCCTATGAAACAGGTTATTACTTGACAGCCTCCATATGTTGCTGAACACACGCTAAATGTGAAGAGGCTACTTTCACATGGGCAGTGCACTTCCTTGTTAAAGGAGACCTATTAAACTGCTTTTCCAGTCCTATATTGTAGTTCTGTGACTCATGTATGGCAGCTTTGCATGATTCAAAGTTCAAAAAAATGTTTGTTTTTTTCTTATACTGATTCTTCATGTAGGCCTTTATTTCAGCCTCCGTCTGATACAAGCTGTAGATGCTCCTGTCTCTTTAAGGCTCCCCCTCTCAAAGCCCACTGTCTTCTGATTGGCCTAGACCTGAAGTATGTTACCAGGCTGCTGTTGTCGCTGTGCGGTACAAACAGACTGAGCGTTGCTGTGCGGAGCAAAAGACCATTTATAGAACAGCGGCTCCGTCTGGCTCCATATTACGTAGAGTGGAGCCACGGGTAGAAAAAGCAGTTGAAAACAGAGCCTTCAGAACAGGTGGAAATCTAAGGTTTTTGCTCACAGGGATTTCTGATTCTTTAACTTCATTATTTGAAGCTTTGGCAACGAACATCCAAGTCATAACACATTTTATGACTTGGATGTTCGTCGAAAAGCTTTTTAAAGGATTTAGCCACAAAATCTACAAGAAGCTTGCATCGGACGATGTGGTTTCACAGTTCAGGACTGAACTTTTGAGGTGCGGGGGGTCTAAAACAACCCCCTGCCGCACCCCCTAAAACAATGGTAGGGAAAACACTGCATTAGTAGCACCCTGTAGTAGCACAAAACGTCTATTCTAAAACTCAAGTAACCACTCTTTGCACACGGTAAAAGTATTTTGTCTCTGTTGCAGTTCTTGGATAAACACAAGTTTGGCATATGCATGCTTTTAGTGTGCATGCATCATTTATACATCTGGCCCCAGGAGATTTCAGCAATCACCTTGTCTCGGTGCAACTTCTTCTTGCACAAAGAAGGTTAGGTAAACACTCCACACATGTTAACTGTTGTTAAAGATGCCTCTTCTACATATTGAAAGCAGTGACTTTTGTGATTTATATTTCTAATTAATTGAGGTAAATCTTCAGAGTAGGATGGCTGTGGATTAGGGGGTAGAGCGGTTGTCCACTTATCAGGTGGGTGGTTCAATCTGCATGTCCTTGGCAAGATGCTGAACCTCACTGGCACAAACATGAGTGTATGAATGTGTGTGAATATATATATATATATTTTATTTTTTTATTGTATAAAAGAAGTGCACAGAATATGGAGGTAATTTTGTTTCAGTATTATTTGTGTGAACAGATCCGTGTTTAAATGTGTAATCTGTAAGAATAAAACTCTTTCTACAAACACAAAATTAAGATTTGTAAACTCGCAAATATAAAACCGGGGCTATAGACTAAATTTTTTTCACCTCCGTCCCGGAACCGTTCTGAAGTTAATCTAAAGCGTTTCGAAATGCAATTTGTTAGTGACATAATAATTATAAATTGATAAAATAAATATTCATTTTGCTTGATTCGAACAAAAAGATTTATAAACAAAACAGAAAAGTTATCTGTTAGCGCACCTTTTTACCTTGATGATAGATTGTTTAATTTCAATTCAGGTTTTCTGCTCATGTTCAAAACTTTCTGCACATTCAGAATCTCACATATCTTTGTTCTCCTATATGTCCAGAAGAAAATCGTAATATTATGAGACTAACTAACTAATTCATAATATTTTTAAAAAGTCTACCTGACCTATACTCAGACTTCAGACTGTCCTGAATGCACTGCCATTCCGGCAGACGTCTCAGCGCAAATCCTTACGTTAACTTCTGCAACTCCAGTAAAGTGCAGCTCACAGTCCCAAACAGAGCCAGTTTATATTGTTATGTTTATAATCCAAAACTCTACCAGCGAGTCTGCTGGCGGCGTGTCACTGCGCACAGGTTACTTTACGATCACGGCGTACGCCGAGTTGCATCAGCTGGGCGGAGATGATTCTCGCCGCTAGTCGACATTATCACAATATAGATTTGATTTTCACTGCGTGGGAAGATTAACGTGTGGCGCTTAACGCTAGCCTACACAGCGTGATTGAGAGGTCAGCAAGCCGTTTGTGACTGAGAATCAATGGCCTGTACCGCGGGAACAGGCGAGCAGCGTGACTGTAGTAACAGCATGAGAAGACGGCCTCCGTTGTAGTCAGCGCTCGGTCGGTTCAGCTTGTCATTTGCTAAGCGATCGTAATAAATGAACACATAGGCCTACACAATCCCTTTCGTCCTACAGAATATTTCTCTTTTTCTATCGTCCCCAGGACGACGGAACGCTGTTAGTCTCTAGCCCTGTATAAAACAGATCTGAAAATACACAAACAAATTCCACAAATAAAAAATAATAATCTGAATATATAAAATAATTTACAAATAATTTAATCACATTTGTGAATATCTTCCTAACATTTACAGCATTCAAATAGGACTTTGTGAGTCCAATTTTACGCTTCTTTTGTGTTTGTGGAGAGAGTTTTATTTTTACAGATTACACATTTACACACGGATCGCTTATCTGTTCACACAAATAATTTTGAAACAAAATTAACTCCATATCGGAAAGACCAGAAAGGCACATTACAGGTACAAACCATTCACCAATAGTGTCAAAGAATCATAATTACATCCACCGTGGTTCAAGGTTGTAAAAAAGTCAAAAAGTGTGCATTGTCAGTCTATATACCATAGAGAGGAAAGAAAGTTCACTTACATATTTCTTCTTGATGATATTCCGTTTGGGTCTGTCTGTACTCATCATGCCCAGCGGACACTAATGGGCACATGAATCACGGAAGCCTCTTTCTTTTGCCCTCAATCTTTTTTGCTTTTTTCTCTCTTCAGGTGTGGAAATGTAAATCCCACTGCTCTGTCCTGGAAAAGAGGAGTCAAGAAATGAAATACAACGAGAACAAGACGAAAAGATATTTTAACAGTATTATGAATAAATATTTAATGCTGACATATATCAGTGGGGAGGCCTGGGGGTTTTCAGTCGTTTTAATGTAGAGATCAACTCTAAAACACAGCTAAAACGCTGCTGTGGATGGAGATCGTTTGTAAAAGAAAACGGAGTAGTGTGGACCCCTCGTTGCTCCAGAGGCGTGCGACCTCTGACATGTATAGAAATTGTATGTTGCTTTGGATAAAAGCGTCAGCTAAATGAATAAATGTAAATGCATAAAAGAGGAGGGGCTACTCACAGACAGGTCCGTTGTCAATGTGTTTGTGAGAAAGAGAAGGGGCTGAGCGAACCTATGTGCTGGGCGCAGCTCTACTATGGGATAGGGTTTTACCCATTTGAATCTCAAGGAACTTGAACTACTTCTACTAATTAGTGTAATTAGCCATTTTCCTCGATGAATACATGATCAAGTATAATAGTATTGTCTCATTTGTTTAATTGGGTTCTCACGATCTACCTTTATGACTTGTGTGACGATATTTTAGGTTTATGCAGAAATATAGAAAATTCGAGTACCACTGTATAATAGACTTGTGTATTTCTCACATTCTCTCTGATAGTCGGAATAACTCACTAGACTTGTCGCTAGTCGCTTTCTTAGAAATAAAGTCTCTGAAAACGATTAGGCAGCGGACTGAACCACTGTGAAGCATTTATGGGGTTTGGAGGTAATCTTTCAAAACTTCACAATGCATCTGGAGAACAAGAGCTGACAACTGTTCGTGTACCAAATTGTCTAGACACTGACGGACGACAGTGGTCAAAATTATTACTTAGGGACAACTTGGTAGTCGCTGGATCTTGGCAGGGACAGTCCCCATCATGCCTACTAAATGCGACACCCTTGCGTACTACACGTGTTCAAGCTTCTCCACCTTCAAAGTGGGAACTGCCCCTCTGTCATGATGGAAACTGATGCAGGACAGCTGAACAATGTTTGCGTCTTAATTTTCACTTCTATAAATAACAATCTCTGAAAATAAATTAAAATATTAAATAATATAATAGACAAAATATAAATAATCAACGATCGCTGATTCAATTCACTGCTTTGACGACTAAACCTCCCATCTGTATCAGTGGAATTTTGTAGAAATACTGCAAGTTGGTCTTCCACAGTCGTAGCGTAGCGCCGACATCAAGGCAAACCTTTTAACCGTTAATGGACTGGCAGCAACACACCACTCTCCCTTCCAGAGCTCTTCCGGGTCTGTGATGTCGCACTAGCCAGAGCCCCTGGCACCCGCTACAACGCCATGACGTCACGGCCGAAATCAGCTCTCCACCAAACCAGCCAGGTTGTATCAAATCCAACCAAATCCAAAGACAAGTCAGCATCCATAATGTCCATTCATTTTAAACCTGTCTTTAGTTCAGTCATACCTAAACCAAATAACATTTCCTCTCAGTAACACTGACTCCAAGTTCTACGTACATATCATGGTCCTCTACCATTCCACTATTCTCTGTTCCATAGTAAGCAGCAATTATAATCATAAAATTAAATGCAATTCCATAAAATTTTTCCATGTTTACCATTTTTTAAATCATTATTATTGCAATTGCAAACCTCGTCCGCTACTTCCTATTTTCCTTTTATTTTCCACAATTGTGCAATTATTTCTCGTCTTCCATACAGAGCAAACGTTCAACTTGTCTGGCCAATATTTATGTAAAATTGAGTTGAAATATGGTGATTTTTGTAGTAGTTTATGGTAAGATGTGGAACAATGATGTTGTGTGGTTGTGGACGTCAGAGTAACTTCTACCATCTGCTAGGTTACGGTCTCAGTCTGAAGCGGCTTTGATTTGGATCACACTACCTTGTTTCTTACGACCCGCCCTTCTCTGCTTCTACCTGGGAACTGCGCATGTGCGACTCTGTAGCTCAAGAGCGGAGCGTACAGCACACAGGGTGAAAAGAGGAGCTGCAGCAATGTGCTGTATGAGGAAAATATTAAACCATATAAACCTGTTCTGGTACAACCTCTAATTGAGATTTTGAACCTGAAAATGAGCAGAATACCACCTCTTTAAGCTTGCCGTGCACAACTTAAGTGGCCGTGTCACTTGTCCAAGCTTGGAATTATGACCACGCTACCGCTACAACACATCGCCCATTCTTTTCCACATTCCCACGTCGATGAGCACATGCAAATATTAAGACCGAGTTACCCCGCCTCCAATGACGATGCCATGGCTGTGCCTCCCACTTTCAGGTGAGTGGGGAGGCAACACTTCTGCAGCTTTTCGTTTTCATTCAACCCTTCCTGCAGTGCCTGATGTGCTTATCGACTATCAGTGCCTTCCTCATTATTGCACCACCCATTGCTGTGGCCTCCCTCTATTTTCTGTCCTCCATTTTACGCCTTACCGCGCCGATCGTGATCATTTCCAAACCAATTCATCACTTCCTTTTACCGCTTCTTTTGCCGTCCATCCGCTCTCTCATTCCCCGGGAAACTGATTGGCTCAAACCATTCACTCATACACTTTCTCCAATCGTACCATAGTAAGTAAACAAGATCCGTCACCGCAAGTCGCTTTTCGCTGGCCCACTGGCCCCCAACCAGCGTAACACCCCTCTTCACCATCCCAGCAAAAGACAAATACCTTTCGAGGACTCCCCGCAAGTGCAGCCCTCCCTCACCATATCAAACCTCAATCCTCGCTCTACATCTCTAGCCTCACTATCAACCCGAGCACATGCATCCCTCCATCCCAGCATCCTTTCTTCTTCCCTGTTTCCTACCTTCCCTCCTGATTGTGAGGTCTCCACCCAAAGTCACAGTTTGCTTACTGTGTCTGATGGCCAGACCACTCTCCACGACTGGCATGATGTTGAACTATTCATGTCACCCAACTGATGAAACTACACCCCTCCATCTTGCGTATCGGTCATTAAACAACTTGGACTCCTTCGCCGGCCTCCTGCCTGTCCTTTTTCCCCTTCGCTTACTCCTCCCTCCCCATATCCCAAATGTAAATGATGTGACTTTTTCTCTTTAAATACACCCCCTTTCCCCACTCTTCCCTCATAGCCGGTCCAAACTGTTTTCCTGCATATCCTCTCTGTTGAGATCCATCTCGTCCATCCACTCTTTTCCCCCATGCTTCAAACTACCTAAACAGACGGATTCCTTACCTCCATCCCTACACACATCCACTCAGGAGTATCCCGTTTGACTTTACGTAGCAGCAATACCCACGGATTCTCACGTTCTTCTGTCACAGGTCGTCCCCAGGCTTACGGCTCACATCCCGCTTCTTCCTCCACCATGCGCAATACGTACTCAGCAATCATTGTAGACTTTTTGGGGGCACGAACGAATCAAAATATTAACGCAACTAATCAGACATTAGCGTCATCATGCCAGCATTTAAAAGGGTAGCCACGTCGTCCAGCCATGACACAGTTCACACGGAGGCTCATCCCGGTTCCAAGGCTCCCGCATCCCAAGTCACGAAACCCAATGGTTTCTCAGAAGTCTTCGAACAGGCTGTTTCGGTACTCCAACAGAGTTTGCAAATTCATGTTCCCACGGGATTTCTTCAGCTTCCATACCGCCTGGAATTCGCCACTTCTACCCTACACTACTATCCTTCGCAAAACACAACTATGTCGATATTTACATACGACCCCAATCGCAACAAGACCGACGTTCCAGCCTTTCCCAAACCGTTCAAATCTTTCGACTTAACTGGCACCTAAGACTAGCCAGTCACATCTGCCCCCTAAACAACTCTCAATGGGGTCTTTTCCAGCACATGTTATCAACCTCCACAACTCACCGAACGATCTGAAACGCCGCGGATGGAGCTAGACTCTCAGCACAGTGGGGGAGGAGCTTCATCGTGGGCCCACCTGCTACAAAGTCATTAACGAAGTTTACATGACCCCAGACTCACCACAGAGTCTGTCTACTTCGCTGCTGCCGGAGCAGCCATTCTACAAAATGTTTGTGCTCACACCAGAAGCGCTGCAGTGCGTCCATAGACTGAGCGCCTCCAGGAAGCGTCCCAGTGTCAAGCAGCACAGCGCAGATGAACCGCGCAGGAAGTCAGACACAGAAACGGCAGAGAATCGGTCAATTTTCAAAAAAAATACCCGTTACAGACTTCCGATTGTATATCAACAATAAACAGTTAAATCAGACAAAAAATAAACATTTTTACTATGTAGCTACTTAATCATACAAAACAACAAAATCTAAACATCTCGGCCAAGTCCGGCAGGCAAAACGCTCTTATTCTGAAATTCTCCCTGTGGTAGTTGCTAGATTCACCTGTCAAGTCGAGGAACGAAAGCGATCCACAGAGAGCTTTGAAGAATGTAGTAGAAGCACAAAAAGGACACACCGTATTAAAAACAAGTCATTAACGTGGGGCAGGCTGCACGCTTCGCTGCAGAAATGCTTCCGAGAGGTTTCCGGTGGAAGCTGATGCCGTAAATAATCCGCTGTGCACACGCAGCCTACGCCCCTCCCTCAGAATTCCTATGATGCATGAAGGTGAAAGGAATTTTGTTAAAATGTGCTAATAAGTTTGCCATTTGTTTGTTCTACCAGCACCCACGCAACCTCCGCTTGTGTGAAACGCCTTTCCATTTGAAGTCTTCTTGGGGCTCTATCCGCAGCAGAACACATGAAGAGACTGTTATCCCACACAGAGTCTCAACTCTCCTGGTCCCCCCCGTCTTCCTGCCGCCGGTCGACGACGTTCCAGAACACATGAAGGGACGGCTCACCTGCGTCTCCTGCTTACCTGCCACCGGCTGACTCCGATGCATCGTACCCATCCATCCACCCCTCAGCCCTCTATACCTCACCTTTCCATTCCCTCATCCGTCACTCTTATGTCTTCATCCCCACTTTCCTCAACGCCTCACTCTTCTTCCTCATCCCTTCATCCCTCCATCCAGACCCCGAACACTTTCTAGCACATAATCTCGGCTCTACTCCATCCGTATCATACAATAAAATATCCTAAATCCATATCATGGTGGCGTCGGGTAAACTTATTCGGTATGATATCGTCATATAATATCTTTTTGACGGTACCTAACAGCAGATCAATGGTTTTTGTTGTGTGTCACACTTAAATTGGTCCCCATCTAAAATCGTGTAACACACGGGTTAGAGGCGTGCATTGGTTGTTGTTTATGTTCATTTCAGGTTTCTTGTGTATGATTGGCGCAGATATGTAAGGGGGTGGGGGTTAGAGGATTGGAGTTGGGAGTAGTCAAGTCGTGCTTGGAGTACCTGGAGTGTTTTTAGCATTTAGCTAACTAGCTACCACCGTAATGTGCATACCTGTCAACTCTCCCGTATTTTACCGTTCTCTCCCGGTGTCCTCGCTTTAAAATATTTCCCTGTAAATAAACCGTTTACTTGCTACATTCCCCTCCGTTAAAGCCAGTGGCAGCATGTAACAGTGAAGGGAAGTCAAAAGCACCCGCAAATAAAACATGAAGAAGAAAAGCAGCGCGACGGGATCAATCAGGACGGATGATACATTGCTAAACAGAGTATTTCACATGCATTTGCCCATAAAATAGATAAGTGCGAACCAGAAAAATTATTTACGATGCGCGAGTAAAAACTACAACCGAACAGTTATTTTTGTGCATGAATGGTTATGATTTGTATGTTAGTAATTAGCATTAATAAATGACAGACCAATGTAGACTGTTTTTCTTTTACAAGGATTTAATAAACAACCAACAATTAATTTTAGGCCTATAGTAGTGATACACTTTTTATGAAGGTTTAATGAATAAAGTGGGGGGGGGGGTGAGGCTGAAGCAGAGCATAAAAATATTAATTGAGGAGGTTTAAGTTGAATAATAAAGCTTGATTAAGAGTGAGTAGTGATGAGATTTAAGTTGAATGATTGATTAATAATCATCTTGTAAGTTTATAAAACAATTTACTGTTGTCTTAAGTACATTTTGGCCACTCTCAGGCAAATTTATTTAAACTTTTACAAGGTTTCTAAGCGGAAGATGGCTGCATTTTGTCGTGTTACCAAACCTTATGTGTCATTTTGAAACCATGTTTAAAAGCAGGTCAAATAATTCCTTTGTTTATTTTAAATAAATTGTTGGTTACATGTTCAAAAAAATGAATATTTGTGACAAAAAATTTAATTTATATGCATGCAAGTTGTATTGTAAGAAAATGCAACACCTTTTTCTTGTTTTAAAGGAGACCGAAACCTCAATTTCATTAATGTTTTCATCATGTAATTTATTAAACAGTGGGATAAATGATTGGCCACAAAAATAGTGGTTTATCTTGTTTTTTTATGAAAAAATTAAACAATTTAGTAACAGGAATGAGCGCTGGGTAACAGTATGCAGAAATATTCAAATACACTAGGGGGACCAAATGCAAAGAAATGCACGGTACCAATGGATGCATTAGGTCATCTAGTTTCATATGATAGTATCTTCACTCTGGATTTAGAATAGAGCCCATTAAAAATCTGAAAGTTCCCCTCTGGACACAGTCCTAAGGAGGTGAAGAGAGTGTATTTGAGTTTTTAGCATAGAATTAGCAAATACATGAGATATAGTGACCTGGCGTCTACACTTTCTAGTGATTCACCACAAATTTGTATTTTTAAAATAAACAATTAAGTCTAAGAAATAATTTAGGTAACAGGAATGAATATTGTAACTGGCCTGCTCCGTCACAGTTACAATATCATTAAATATAAGGAAGAGAAAATTAGAGAACTTACTTTTGGTCTTCCAATGACCTTCAGAAGATGCAGATGATGCAACTTTCTCTTAAACATGGGACTTGTTTTTTTAGAGGGGGGAATGTATTAGTGTAACTTAATTAACTAAAATGTGCATTTTAACTCAAATATTACAAACATTTTAAGAAGAAAAAATGTTTAAAGCATAGATGGGATATGGAGTCACTCATAAATGCAAAAAAAAAAAAAAAAAACTAGGTTTCTCAAGTTTTTAAATTATGATATTACATTGCAGAGTGTAGTTTTAGGGACTGGGAACAGGTAACAAATGCTATTTTTCAGTGTTCTAGATCATTTTTATTAATGTTTTAATTTATCTTGCATTTGCAATTAGATTAATGTGCAGGGCACTTTGCTTAATAATAAAAAGTATTTTAAAGTTATGCATATTTATACATTTTATGTCCTGGGGACAGAAATGGCACCCATTCGGTGGAATGACCCATTTAATAGCAATAAATTATTTTGCTTCTAATTTCAATCTGATGTCTTCTTTAAGTTTGAATTCAACAGAATACCGTATTATCTCAATTAAAAGTACTGAATTTTATTTTATGTTTAGCAGGTGGGTTTTTTCATTTAACAGTCCCATTGGCAGGTGAGCCAAAAAGTTAATTTCCACTCCAGCCTATTAGTCCAGTTAATTAAATTTGCCCTCCAAACCAGGTGTTATAAAAGCCCAAACTTAGATTAAATCAACAGCACAGTAGAAGAACACCTGAAACAAGCAGCATCGCTGTTTATTCTCTCATTTAATCACCATCTTCCTTAGTTGGGCCTATTCGTGTCGCGTTAAGGGCACGTCTGTAAATTTAAACTCTGATTAATGGTGACGGTGTTTATCAGACGTGCGATGTGAAGCCGCACGCGGCCTGTCCGGCATTCAGCATCCTGCTCCCGCACTGATGCAGGAAGCACCGACAAGAAAGACGGGAATCCTGCGTGCTGCTCCTGCAGGTGACACCATTTCACTCACGGCCACAAAAAGAACCCAAACGCTGTAAATTAAATGCAATGAAAATAACGCACAAGCATCCAGGGAGACAGCCGAGGTGTTGATGGGAGCCTGCATGTAGTCCAAATCTGTAGGCTGCACCATTACACCCAACAATGCATGTGGCACAACGTGACAATCGAAATCTCTGCGCTACATTAGTCCTTAAACAAAGCAGATATGAAAGAATAAGGGATCACCCACCTCCCGCAGGCTCGGCCTACATCATGAGCGCACGCGGACCCACTCACGCATGTTCATACAGACACATATCAGATATCCCACCGGCTCCGGCGCGCCGTTATTCACCTTCCTGAGCCGTTCCGTTGCACCGCACCTCCACCGCTGCGGTCACGTGAGCGGCTGTTACCGAACCAAGGCCGGCCCCGGTTGTGTCTTAGTGCGCGTGTATTCTTTTAACTACGGTATCGGTACAGGCGACGAGTGATCTCCAAAATTGCCGTTCACCATGCACGTGTCCCGGAAACCGGTCGAGGTCAAGCATCCCCAAAGTTGTCAAGTCTCTTTAATCCTAATCGCCCGATTTTATAGTTTCTCACCTGTCGATCCCGGCGTGACCCCGAAATCAGTGCGCCTAGATTCTAATGCGCGTCTAGTCCTACAATTAAGGTACAGGCGCCGTGTGTAGCCAAAAAGTATGTAGATGTCCCAATTGGGGTTTTTAATTGAAATTTAAAACACAAAACAGTCAGCTGCTGTATAAGAAGATAAAATACATGAGTAATAACAAAGGAAGGACATAGCGATAAATAAAACAAATAAAATAATTAAGGGTAACATCGATTCAAAGTAATATATCATCTGTCCAAAAGAAATTTGTCACACACACAGTTAGTCTTGATTGTCTTCTTGTTCTTAACGTTTTTAATTGTCATGCTATACTGATGCAGTCCTTGGAGAAAGTGTGGTTTGGAGTCTATTTTTTCTTATACCAATTGTATAAAACAAATTTACTTTTTAGTCTTTTTCCTTCTCATTTCTTTCAAAACATATAAGAATGTCTTTCTTACCTGAAGTTGAAACGTTTGTATACGTTGTAACTGTATTCTACAGTATATACATTGATAAAATAAATGCCGAATTAATTCTTCATGGAATTGACAGAAAGTGCAAGAATACTCAATATTCAATCTAAACATCTTTTTTACCGGGTATATACGATGTAATATCTTATAGGAAACCTCTTTTACTTTGTTGTTAAGACAGAATTTGTCTACAATAAGCCACATTTTCTGCCAATTAAAATAGTCAGAGTTATGCCTTATATGCAGTTCCTGATATATTTATTTGAACATTTATTTTTAGTAATGTCAATGTGGAAAATGGTTGGATCCTTGAGACCTCACGAACCAAACCTCTGAGAAGTTGCAGCACACTCCTTGGCACAGCATCAAAAACCTCTGCATGTAACTGGTAAACTGAATTCAGCGAGGAATTCCTCATAAGTGAGTAACTGCCCATCAGCGGCTGTTTAACTAATACAATACCATTGGCAGCCCATGTCTCATAATATAGTGATTTATTTTTATATTGAATATTCTTGTTGTTCCAAATAATTAGTGGTTGTAAATTAACTTCTGGGCCAGCAGAGCTTGTTTATGATAAATTGGTAATTTATCAATTTTATAGTCACATTTTAATACAAATTCAATTCCGCCCATTAAATTAAATATATTTTTTAGGGAAGGTGTTTATCCAAATATTATCTTTTTCTGTAATTAACTTAGTTAGCCATTTAATTTTGAAAGTATTGTTTAAAGTTTCAAAACTTAAGACCTCCATTTCTTTTTGTGTTACATAAAATATCATTCTTTAAATAATGAAATTCATTCCTCCATATGAAATAAAATAGGATTGTATCTAATTTTTTGTATATTACAGTAGTATTTCCAATGATAAGGAGACAGATCTGGATATTTCCTCAGCTTTAGAAAGTAGAAGTCTACCGTTCAATGAAAGATCTCTCATCAACCACATGTTGAACCTTCTCTTTATTTGTTCAATTATAGCATGCGTGACTGTTACTTTCGATCTCCATGGCGGCCTGAAAGGGGATCAAAATGACAAAATGATTAGTGGCCCTCATGAAGTGCACCTGAAAGAACATTTTCCGGGCCGGATGAAGCCAGACATCGCTGCTGGAGTGAGGAGATGTTGCATGTCATGGAAAACAGCGTCACTTCCCTTACTTCAATATGCTCAACATGCAGAAGATCAGAGAACAAAGCAGGAAAACTGGACATTGGCGTATGAATTGTCTGAGTTTGAAACAGGGTGGATATTCCAAGGCGGACTTAAAGCTGAAAAAGGAGGTGGAATGGACTCTGGGGACGGACCTGCCTGTCGCACACCAATGGGTGAATCTTCTGTTAAAAGTGAGTATGACTGAAAATAATGATTGCTATAACACGCATTGAAGATAAAAATGACAACTTGATCAACTGACATTTGAAATGTAGTACACAGATGAAAATAATGGATTTAGAAAGTTACCAGAGTTGTGTTTAAACATAGCAGGTCACAATGTTGTGTTTTTAGCCAACTCAAGGGCTACTATATCTGTTTTAAAGAATGCAGCACCACCGAAACGGCCCAAGAAGAGCAGATTTCAGAATCCTACACAACACCTTTGGCATGCACACTCGATAACACCTTGACTAAACACATAATTTCTGTTATCAAAACACTGTCCCATAATTTTAATGAGAAGAGATCTGATTTAAACTCACATCCAACAAGTACTGAGACTGCAAAGGGTTGAATAAAGTCTGGAGGCATTGAAACATGTCTACCAGTGATCTCTGGCTCCATCTAGTGTCTCTGCTGTGGTACCACAACTGACAACCTTGGTAAAAACTCAATACTATAATAATAACTAAATACAAGTAAAATGACTCAATGCACTGCACATGTTTCTGAGGCACAGGTTAATTAATACATTTGAGAAATGATGGAAGAATCACAGACAGGAAATAGAAAGTTTGTGTTTACAGCGTGTTTACTGAACAAAGAAGGCTGCAGATATTTTTGTTTCTCCTTCTCAGTCTGAGCGGTTTAAAGGGCATTGTCCACATGTGCCATTGGGTAAGCTGCCGAATTCAATTGGAAGGATTTTGGGCAGATGGGTCCTCACCCGGAGTCAGCTGCTTGACCACAAGAACGGTGTACAGCATTGGTTGGCAACTGGTGAAGAGTGGTGAGTTTTATTTAGGAATTACATCATAGTGTAGACAATGATAAGAAGCTTTCAGAGACTCAAAGGGCTCTTTACACTAAGATGGTTACATGACCTCTGTTCTGATTATGGAGGATAACAAAGACCTGTTGGTTACTTCTCAGCTAAACTTGACCCTTTTGCCGCTGGACTTCCTTTGTGCTGAAGCAGCAGCAGGAAAAGTTGCGGATGCATCACTTGACATTGTGGGATTTAGTGATCTCACACACATGGCGCCGCGTGCAGTTTCACACATCCTACGCAAACATCACATTTATCTGCGCAGAAATGGTTAAGAGATCACACCGCTCTTCTCGGCATGCCCAACACCACAGTTAAAATATGTACTGCTCTTAATCCTGCTACTCTCCTCCCCCCTCCAGCAGATGGTAAACCACATGACTGTGTTGTTGTGTGTCTGTCAGTCTGGGCCAAATCAATTTCGATACTGAGGGGGAGATCCGAGCGGCCCTTCCCAAGTTGGACCGATCCTCGATTTTGCTGAATTCTGATTGGATTAACCAGGATAACATGTACTTAGTATACATATTAATTGTCTTGCTGTCAAAGTAAATGCATTTGGAAAAGAGCAGATGTCAGATAAACCAGTCCGATATGCTGCTGTTGGTGTGGTGAACGAAACGTCTAAACAAGAAAGATTTTTCCAGAATTCTCCATCGACAATGGTGGATCTACAAAAATGTGAACACGGTGGGACTGGGAGATTAAAGGCTCAGGAAACCTTTACAGGTGTTTTGAGTTAATTTGCTAATTGGAGCTCTTCTCGGGTGTCAACATTTCCATCCATCCTCAACCGCTTATCCTGCTTACAGGGTCGGGGGGGTGCTGGAGCCAATCCCAGCTGACCTGTCAACATTTCTGTATTTTCAAATACATGTGTGCTCTGCACGCTGATCAAACGGGGTTATCACCGCATATTTTTGCTGAATCTCAGTGAATGCTGCTTCTGCTGAGTGTAATAAAATATAAACGACTCTAAATGTTCATAAAATATATACTTTGAATCATTTATCACCGCTGACGAACCTCACAAAGGATATTATAGCGTTTAAAAGCATTATCTGGAGGTGCATGCAGAACTCTGCAGAACACCGGATATTCCCATAACGTGTGGAGACACGGCTGGTAGCAGTTTGCTCACTTGAAACACACGGAGAGACACTTTTGGGAGCGTGAGCACAACCATTGACTAGAATGACTGCTACTAGTTTCAGCTCACTGTTTATCTGTCCGGCGGCAGCTTCCGGTTCTGGTTCACTCTCAGCGCTCTCACTGCGTCGTTGCCGTAAAAAGCTGCCGTGTGCTCCTGTTTTGCCCATGTTTGTTCTGTGTTCTATTGATCCTGTTTAAGTCTGTTTTTGTTTCTGTGTTTCTCTGCGTAGCCTTGTTTTATTATTCATTCACCTGTTCGAGTTTAGTCTGTATCTGGTTTCATGGTTTTGGGTTCTGTGTTGATCGTGTCATGTTTAGGGTTTTGTAGCAAAGTTAGTTCTTATGTTTATCTGCATGTTTTTTACCTGCTCGAGTCCCTAGCCCTAGGTTTCCATGTTTCATTGTAGTCCTGTCTCCTGTCTTTTCATGTTTTGTGTTTTACTCTGGTAGGTCTGTCCTAGTGTGTTACCGGGTGCTTTACTTCCTGTTTTACTTTGTAGTATTCAGTACTTGTCTAGCTTTGCTTCCTGTTTGATTACCTTTCAGCTGTTTTACCCTCCCTGCTCGTTTGCCTGCATATAGAAGCCCTCAGTTCTGTTTAGTCCTCGTCTGGTCCTTGTTGTCGTCCCAATGTAAGTGTTCTGCTGTGCCTTGTTCCCTGAGTTCCGCCTTTTTTGGGATTTCAGTCTTGTCTGCACTTTACCTGCATCTGCGAGTCATCCTCCAGTATTTCTGTTTGAGAATAAATCTTTTGTTAAACAGCATCCTCTGTCTGTGTCTGCGTTTGCGTTTCTCACCTAAGTCTGCACTCAGTGTACCCCATGACAAGTTTATCTGTATAGCACATTTCAACAACAAGGCAATTCAAAGTTCATACATAAACATTAGAGCAACATAGCAAATAAAAAAAAAAAAGATATTTAAATTTTACAAAAGAGAAAAGAGTCAGGACTGTAAAAGGTGCAGTGTAAGATATTGATCCATAGCTTTACATTTGATCTAATTAAAGGCCGTGGTAAAAAGAAAAGTCTTCAGTCCAGATTTAAAAGAACTGAGAGTTTCAGCAGACCTGCAGTTTTCTGGGAGTTTGTTCCAGATATACGGAGCATAGAAAATGAACGCTGCTTCTCCAGGTTTAGTTTTGAATGTGGGGACAGGAAGCAGAGCTGATCCCAGACCACCTGAGAGGTCTGGATGGTTCATAACCAAGCAGAAGATCAGAAACCATTCAGTGCTTTATAAACCAACAGCAGACCGGCAGGAAGCCAGTGTGAAGACTGGACTGTCAGAACTGGAGTGATGTGATCCACCTTTTTGGTCTTAGTGAGGACTCGAGCAGCAGCGTTCTGAATCAGCTGCAGCTGTCTGATGGATTTCTTAGGGAGCCTGTAAGGACACTGTTACAGTAGTCGAGTCGACTGAATATAAATGCATGGATAAGTTTTTCCAGGTCCTGCTGAGGCATAAGTCCTTTAATCTGTGATATATTCTTCAGGTGATAGTAGGCTGACTTTGTAATTTTCCATGACTACACCAAGTACACGAGCTGGTGAACATGGTGGAGCATTTAGCAGCTAAAAAGCCAGATATTTCCCTCAGGAGCTGGTGGAGACCAAACACAGAGCTAACAGAGAGAAAACACTGGACTCACCTTCACCAGGCGACACAAACACGACCGAAGCATCATGTTGCTCTGGAGCTGCTGGAGGTGGAAAGTGTTTGCTAAAAAGTTCAATATATCAACTTTAAAAGGTGATTTAATGTCAATGTTCTGTTCACAACAAGTGGACAAAAATGATGTTATTTCAGGTTTGAGACATCAAAGCTTTTTATTTTTTAGTTAGTGGCAGAGTTCTTAAAAAGGGGCCTCAAACATCCTGCCTCCACCTGTTATCGGATAGAAATACATCTTCAATACGTCATAATACTTTTACTTATTGACACAAGCTCTACGTTATTTAATCTTTAAAAAATGTTGATTTCATTATTAGGCCAACTGCCCAACAAACACTATTAGGATTGCTTGTGACTTTGTCCTTCGTGATGTAGAAATTAAATTTAAAATTATTAAGAGCCCGGATGAAAATGACAATCCCACTTTTCCCAATATTTGACTCCCTTCTCCGTCAAGAGGCGAAGAGTGAAAGTGTTTGTTTTATCTATTTATTTTATTAAAATTTTTAATATATCTTTATTTTTTTTACCACACTCGCGCTTACTGTTTATTTACTTTTATTTATACAGAATTTATATATATATATATATATATATATATATATATATATATATATATATATAATACATTTTTATTTACTTATTTAATGAAATGGAATTAATGGTTAATGGTTCTTGTGTAATTAATATGTAGCTTTGGCAATATAGTTGTCATGTATTCATGCCAATAAAGCTAATTTGAATTTAATTGAAAGTGATTTTCTCCACTGAGCGCACTGAGTAGATTGTGTTGATAAGGGGGGATATTGAGGGAGGGTTTCTTCTGCAGCCAACATTTTGTAATTTGCTTCCTTGCTTGCGGCCAAGAAGATCTTCAGAAGGTATTTGTCACAGACCTTTGGGGATAGTTCCAAGGTATAGAAAGTTAAAAGAGAAATCAGATTTCAGGCTGAGAATCTCTGAGATTAACTGTGCCTCTCCTTTCAAAAAAAGGTTGAGTGAATGAGCGAGAAAGACCAAAAAACCATAGGTATGATCCGGCCCCTCCAGCAGGGCTGCTGAAACCCACTTAATTTGGTTTTCTGATTGATCTGGTTCTTCATTACCGCCAGAGTCTACAATGGGTTGTGTTGCTTGTACAATCGGCACGCTGTGATCGCTCCCTCTGGATGAATTTTATGCATGATCCATGCACTTCTGCAGCTGGGGGCTCTCCGCAGCGCCACACAACTTTCCATTTCCTTCCACATAACAATTGTTCAATATATCGTCAATAAATATTTGATTAAATTCATTATTCATTAGAATCACAAACGAATTTTGTGCTTAATTTTCCTATTAAGATATTTTGGAAAAGGGATAGAAAAAATTTGCTAATATTTTTTTGATAAAAGATTTGATCATAGTTGTTCTGAATGTTCTGCCTCAGATATGTGAAGTGATCCACTGTTTGGCATCAAGTGTTTGTCACGTTCTGACATTAATGAATAGTTTAATAGTTTCTTCAATTTTCAACAAGGGGCAAAAATCAGCCTTCAAACTGGAGAGAAATAATGATTTGACATTTTTCATGATAATTATCGATATCGAATTATATGAAATCTTTTTAGCGTGATAACATTTTGGGCCATATCGCACAGTCCTACCTTAAAATCAGGTCTTAACCCAAACAGCTCTTTAAACTAGTGGGGTCCAGCATCTTGGACCCCACAAAGCTTTTGGACCCCACAAGTATAGTAAATC